GTGATGAAAAGCAGATAATTCTCAGGGTCTCACACCGCGGTGCCGTATCGAGACTTGGGTTTGCTTTGCTCAGCAGGGAGCCTTCTTAGGTGGCAGAGAGGCTGGATCAGCAACAGAGAAGCGACTCTGGGACTTGTGATTTCCTTCACACAAGCTGTTTATTACAAAATTCAGAGGGTTTTTATACATTCCAAGGAACTGGCAGTCGTGGGGTTTGGCAGTTATATACAAAGATTTAGGGTACAAAGAAACAGGACATATAGCCTTTTCATTGGGGCCAGCAGAATGCTTAAACTTTTACTCAAGGTTACCAATGCCTGTCCAGAAATTTATTGGCCACAATGTTTTCTTTCTTAGGACAAAAAGCATGGTAAACCTTTAGCTTTTAGCTCAGGAGTAAACCTTCAACCTGGCCTAATCTTTTAGCTAATGATAGCTGAGTTATTTGTTCAGGACAGGAAGATGACCTAAGGGCTGTTGATCAAGATGCTTTCCCATAGACCAAGAAGCCTAAACTTTTGACCTGCCGGCTTTTCTCTTGCTAGCCCTGCAGCATTCTGCAAGACATGGATATCAGAGCTGCTATTTTTGACGCTCCTCCCTTTAGCAGAGAATGTAGCCTGGACTTAAAAGTTTTAGGCTCATCTCACCCTAGGGCATGCCATCCTGGTTTCCTACAGTGCCATGAACTATCAATGTAACAGTAAAAATCTCAACTCAAATGGATAAGAGAGATAGTTTATTCTAAAGCCAAATATGAGTGACCATGGCCCAGGAGCACAGATTCAGGTTACCCTAAATTCCGTGTTTCAACATGTCTCAGTTTCATGAAGTTTTTGTAGTAACAGATCAAAGAAAAGTCATCAACCAAGACGTTTTTCAAGTTCATTGATGGAAACATTAGGCAGGTGGTTAGAGTCAAAGAAAAATCTCAGCTAAAGTCCCAGATGCTATTCGATGATGTTCAGACTTTTGAATGGTAGAAGTTGGTGGTCTGCTAAGTTTAATACATTCCAAAACTTTTCTTCTCTGTTAGCCACGGGATGTTAAGTCAGAATCAGAGGTAGGTAAGGAGTGGCTAGTTAGGGGGCTAAAGATTGCCCAAGATAAATGCTAATTAGGCTCTGGTTTTGCAACATTTCAAACTCTCCCCAATCACTGAAGTTCTAATCAGTTGATCAGCCTTTGCAGATGGTTCAGTTTCAAGGTGCAGTTTTTCTGGGAACATTTTTCACAAGAGCAGACATCAAATCCTGTAGCTCCATGTCCAACATCTGGGTCTTTAGTTCCCAAGGGCCTGAATGGCTCAACCCTCCAGCTTTTCTGCCTGTAACATATATCTCTCTCTTGAGCTGGTTCCACTCCCTGTATGCAGCTGTCTTGGCAGATGTCTTATGGTACTGGCATCTCCAACATCTCAGGGTTTCTACTGGAAACCAGGCTTCACCTTCATCCCTTCAGTCAATGGCCTCCCAGGGCTTGCTTTATGCAGAGACTCCCCTGATGCAGACTGCCTGGCCTCAACATCTCTCAAACTTAAGAGGAAGACTTGACAATCCCCTCACTCATATATGCCAAGCATCTAAAGCCAACACCATGTGAACAACACTGCCAAGTTAAGCTGTCAGCTTGGGATGGATCTTGGCACCCTTAGCTCACATTTGCAGCTGCTTTTGTTGTGATATTCTAGGTGCAGAAAACTCCTTAGGCCCTTTCTTCTCTCTGTTGGAAACTGCGTTGGGTGGGCTCTTTACCTGAGGGCACCCTTCCCATGGTTCAGTCGACCAGGAGGCTTCTCCTTAATGGCGTTCCTCTCCTTATCAAAGAGAGCTTTGTTCTAGGACAAGCTTCAGTTCTAATCTTAAGTTTCCTAGTGTTCTTTTTCTTCCCAAACTGTACATTTTGTGTTTCTTTCGGCTCCTTCTGTTCTTTTTCATTAGTCTGCATTATATTCACCATTAGTAACTTTCCCACAGACTCAAAATTAGGCTATCTTGAAATTTCCTTCACTAAAAGAATTACTCTATTACTTTATAATTCATTCTCAGGCAAGTTCTTAGGACACCAAGTTTTTTACAGCAACATCTCACTCTCTGGTACCAACTTTGGTATTAGTAACTTTTCTGTTGCTGTAATAAAATATCATGACCAAGGCAACTTCTAGAAGAAAGGATTTATTGGGCTTTTGGTTCCACAGGGAAGAGTCCATCATGGCAGGGGAGGCATGGCTGCAGGTAGGCCGAACAGAAAGCTGACCACTCACATCTAAGCTGACCACTCACATCTTCAAGCAGGTAAAGGAAGTGGAGAGAACTGGAAGTGGAGCAAAACTGTGAGCACTCAAAATGCATCCCCAATGATGCGTTTCCTCCAGTAAAGCCGCACATCCTAGGGATTCAATGGCCTTCCCAAAACAGTGCCACCACTGACCAAGTGCTCCAATACTTGAGCCTGTGGGGGGCACTTCCCATTCAAACTACCACACCAATAATGTGTGAAGAGGCTTGTGGAAAATCACTACTTTATAAGTTGATTAAAAATATAATTAAGGGTTGGCAAGATGACTCAGTGGGTTAAAGGTGCCTGCCATTGAGCCTGATGACCTGAGTTTGATACCTGAACCCAAACCACAGAGGGAGAGAACTGACTCTCAAGGTTGTTTTCTGAATTCTACACTTGAGCAATGGCACATGTGCACATGTATATTAGTCAGGGTTCTCCAAAGAAATGGAACTGGTAGAATGAATATATATGTATAGAGATTTATCAGCTTAGCTCACAGGATAGAGTCCGAGTAGTCCAACAATGGCTGCTCCACACTGGAGAGGCTGAGAATCCGTAGTCGCTCAGTCCACAAGGCTGGATGTCTCAGTAGTCCCAATCTGGCACTGAAGGTCTGACGAATTCCAAAGGATCAGCTAGTCTTGAAAGAAGAACTCACCAGCGAGAGAGAAGGCAAACAGCAAGAAACCAGGTGTTCCCCTCTGCCATGGACTTTTATACGGTCTGCCATCAGAAGGTAACACCCACATTTAGGGTGTGTCTTTCAGCTTCATATGATCCAATCAAGAAGATCTCTCTCATTTCAGTTAATCCCAGATCCAGTCAAGTTGACACCCAGGATTAGCCATCACAACATGCTCCCCAAATAATAAATAAATAAATAAATAAATAAATAAATAAATAAATAAATGTTTTGCATATCTATATCTATATTTTTTATTTTAAGAAAAGGTGTTTGGACCAAGGTATCTGTGTGAGTTAACAGTGTTGCTCCCATAAGACATTGGTTATGAGTGAAAATATCAGTGCCAGGATACCTCCTTATGGGTTATTGGTCAGGGAGGCCCAAGAGGTCTCCAAAACAACACAGGGTATTGCCATAGCCCTTTGTTACTCAAGGTACCTACATAGAACTTATTGCTGAAAACACTGTAAACTTTGGCTCCAGGATATAGAGAACTCAGTCTCAAACCAACCAGGAAACTTCCTCCTTGCCAGTTTCAATAGTGACTGAAGAGGCTATGCAGGTAACTGGAGCAGAAAAGACATCAATGTTCTTGCCCAGCACTAGACCCTGAAAGCTGCAATGCCCACTGTCAGGCAAGATGTGTGCTGGTGTGATAGTATAGTGGCATGATTGTTATGGGGTAACTAACTGCTCTCTGATTGGATTTGAGGCCTGCTCCACAGGAGGGAATTTTACACCTGGTATTGTAATCCTGGTCAAAAGACTGGAGAGGTCATAGACCCTAGGATAGAACCTACTACCGTTATTTTGCTAAAAGGTCATGTTGTAAAATTGCCCTCTATTATGTTTAAACTCATAGACCTGGGCTGCTCTCAACCTTGGTCAGATAAACTTAAGAGTGGGCAGCAGTCAATGGAATCATCTGGGAGAAGGGTCTCTTGCATGCCTGTGGGGGCTTATCTCGGTTTCACTAATTGGCGTGGGATGCATTGCAGGTGGCACCGTTCCCTGGGTGGGATCCTGGACTGTATAAATGGAGAGGAGGAAGGGAGCCAAGCAGCAGCATCTGTTGATCTCTGCTTTGATTGCGGATGTGACGAGACCAGCTGCTTCAAGATCCCGCTGCTTTGACTTCTCACCATGATGGATGGCACCTTTGAACTGTGAGTCAGAAGAAACTTTTTCTCCCTTAAGTTGCTTTTGTATTTTGTCATAGCAACAGGAAAATAGATTAACATGTTTGCATAAATCAGACAAATATAAAGTTGTAACAGAGGAAGGGAAGGAGAAAAGGAGGAAAGGGAGGAAGGAAGGAAAGAGGAAAAATCAGGGGCATCTAAACACCAAGATGCATTCTAGAGCAACAACACTTTAGCAGTGAGAATCCCTCATGGACGAACAGACAACCATGGAAGATGGAACAAAAGAGTCCATGTGGTAAATAAACATAATTCCAGAGCTCATGTAAATAAGTTCTCATCTGTGCTCATGTTGGCAACCTTAACAAGGACTCACTGAGTCACACACACGCACACATACACACACACACAATCCCCGAAAATAGAAAGGAGTTGGGAAGAGGATCAGTGGGAGTGGGGTCGGGACAAAGAGGGTAATGGCGTGCGTGTGTGTGTGTGTGTGTGTGTGTGTGTGTGTGTGTGCATGTGAATATCATCAAAACACATATATGTGCATGAAATGTCAAAAAATAATTTTTAAATCTCAGACAATCATGAGTGAGGGCATGGGCCACATCTGAATGCCCAGTTTCTCTCTCCACAGTGGACAGAGGTCAGCACATGGGGGTCAGAGAACAACAGGAGAGAGACAAAGTGGACCAAACTTCATCTGTTTTCAAGCAGAGGGCAAAGCAGATCTCCCCAGCAATGCAGCGTAAATACACACAAGGAAGAGGCCATGTGCTCCAGACACCTGCAGGCACAGATATAAGGGCTCCCTGAGTATAGGTTGCCACACCGCACACCTCCCTCTCCACCTGCTCCTCTGACCTGCTCCATCCTCAACCAACCACCAGAACCATGACCTGCTGTGGGGGCTGTGGCTCCAGCTGCTGTGTGCCCGTGTGCTGCTGTGTGCCCGCCTGCTCCTGGTCCAGCTGTGGGGGCTCTAAGGGGGGCTGTGGCTCCTGTGGGGGCTGTGGCTCCTGTGGGGGCTGTAAATCCAGTTGCTGCCAGTCCAGCTGCTGTCTCCCCATTTGCTGCCAATGCAAGATCTGAGGTCCCGACACAGGCCTAGTTCACCTCACCTGTTTCAGGTTTCTGGAGGTGTCTGGGCTTCATCCCACACTCCCCAGGCTCTCATGCCACCCTGTACTCCATAGGCTTTCCTTGGCCTACAGAGCTGGCTATTCACCTACTGGGCTGTAGGGGAGGCTCAGTCTTCCTACCCATCACCCCGACTGAGAGGCCCACATCGTCTTCCAGGCTGGATGGAGGTCCTGTGGTTCTCCCTTCTGCAGACCCACAGTCTCTTCGGAGCTCTTCTCACTCCTCCCAGTCAGCAGCCTCCCTGGTCACCGCTTCCCCAGCAGAGCCCAAGTAGGGTTCCTAACACCTGTTTTCTCTTTTCTTTGCTTATTTTGGCCCAAATACTTAAACAAAAATCTTTCTTGTGTATATGATGCAATTCTCACTGAATTTTTTGCTACCTCCAACCTAACAAGCACACCCGCTCCCTCTGCCTACACGTCACGCTAGCCACATGTTTAGTCATACACCAGCAGTGACGAGTGCACAGCCTCCTGGAGTCCTGGGGCCCACAGCAGTGAGGAAGCCATGCTGCAGCCTTCATAAGGAAAGGGGAGCAGAGGGGAAACACCTCAGATCGGCATGAGAGGACAGCAGGAAACTAGAACCTTCTGAGAGGAGACAGGAACTAGAAGGGGAGACTCCTGCGGGGCGCATGGGGACGTGGGCAAAGGTGTGGAGGAGTCAGGGGGACCCTGTGGGAATGACCGTTCTGGGGATGCCTGCTGTTACATTTGAGAATCTTGCCTACCCCTGGAACCAAAGTGAATCTTATGTTTGGAGCGCATTTAACACAATCTCAACTTGTTCACAACGTGAACAATCTGATTAGGTTTTGAACTTCTCTTGTAAGCTAAACATTTACCTTTAATCCCTGGCGACCCTTCCTTGCCCCTGGTCCAGAATAATGCATATGTGTGTGTAAGTTGTGAAAATATTTCAGCAAATACTGTGTTGCAAACAAGGGTGAGATTAGACTGATAACGTCTGTTTGTGGTTGTGTGTGCTGCTCTGGGTCTGTGTGGATCAGAAAGGAAAAAGACTCAGAAAAGACAAGGTTCCTCACTTCTTCCAATGCCATTTTGGAGGTACTGTTTCTGTAAGTAGAGAGCAAGTCTTTTGTTTGGGAGACAGTTCTAGAGAAAGGAAAAGGAACAGGTTCTCAGAACAGATCGGCTCATCCTGGTCTTAATCAATGCTAAGGGGTCGGGCAGTCTTGGTTTGGCCACTGCTGTAATATGACTCTCCACTGCAGGAAACTGTCTGAAGCCAGATGCAGCTCCCATAGGCTCAGGTCAGGACCACCTACTGTATGAACACTCTTGGTGCCTCTGTGAACTCATCTGTAAAATAGGGATGTGTGTCCATCACTGTGCTGTGGTAAAGACTGAGCACTTGGGCCATGCAGATTGCTTGGCACACAGACACATGCAAAGAACATGGGCTGAGTTGGCATCACTGGAGCTATGGCTTGAGGGAAGGGGGCATGCAGATCATGACTGCAATGGAGTTTGGTCTGCTTGCTAAATGCTACTACTGGGCCTCAAACGGGATGCTGGAGTATGTTAGTCGTGTGCTGCCTTGTAACGAATTGCCACAGTCTCAGAGAATTCAAACCACACCAGGTTTTAATCTCACAGTGTCTGTAGGTCGATGGTCAGGTGACGCCAAGCTGTGTCCTCTCCTTATAGCATCCTGAAGTCACTGCTGAGGGATAAGCTATACTTGGATGATCACCCAGCGCTCAGGGCCTTTTCTTATTTGCATTCTTTAAAGAACTCAGTTCTTGGGGTTGGAGAGATAACTCTGTGGTTAAGAGCACTTGCTGCTCTTCCAGAAACCCAGTTCCAGAGGACCTGGGTTCCTAGCACCTACATCAGACAGCTCACAATTGCCTGTAACTCCAGGGGATATGATGACGTTCTAGCCTCTGTAGGTACCTGCATACATGTGGTGTTCTCTCTTTCTCTCTCTCATAAATAAAATAGGATTGAGATTTGAAGAGATGACTCAGTGGTTAAGAGCACTGACTGCTCTTGCAGAGAACCTGGGTTTGGTACCCAGCACCAACATGGCAGCTAACAACCATCAATAACTCCAGCTCTAGGGTGCTGGCTCCTCATGAGCACAAGTTCCATCCTCGCTCAAGTGGGAGTCCGTATAAAATGGGGGTCTTTGAGGGTCATTTATACAAGGGGAGACCAGTCATGAAGAGGAAGACAGGTTGTATGCATTCCATCCATGAGGGGCATCCAGGTGGTACACTCGAGAGAGGTCAGATGTGCTGATCTGGAGGTCAGGGCTCGGGCAACAGCAACAGACTGGCAGCCAAGACCTGCAGGCAGGGACCGTGTCCCTCATTAGCAGGGAAGAAGTTACAGAAGGCAGAGTACCATCCTCCGTTTCCTCCGAAAGTTCTCAGAGGGGAGTAGTGGTCAGAAAGTAGGGTGGGGAGAGAGCAGAGTTAACTTCTGATGGGCTGGAGACATGGCCTAGTAGTCAAGAACACTGGCCACACTTGCAGAGGACCCGGATTTGGTTCCTAAAAAACTCCATGGGCCATACGAATAACCTAGTGTGGTCCCAGTCTGTGGGACATGGCCACCACTGAGCTGACCTTTTAACCCCTCCCAGCTCTGACCAGGTCCTCCCTTGGAGGTATTCTTAATAAGCTCTCTGCTCCCACCACCACCCACATACCCTTGTCCAATTTCTTATCCCAGAAAATCCTGCCAGGCCCCTGCCAGACTCCAATATCTGTGGATAGTAAGTGGAGAGCTGTCAACCAAAATGTAAGGTTACGTATTCCTAATCTCTTAAAATAGCCTACCACTTATGGGAGCACCTGAGATAATGCCTCTCTCTGCAACCAGCCTGTCTCTCCCTCCAGCTCTCCTTCCTTCCCTCTTCCTTCCTCCCTCCTTTCCTCTTTCCTTCCCTTTTCCTTAGTCCCTCCCTCCCTCCCTCCCTCCTTTCTTTCCTTCCTTCCTCCCTCCTTTTTGTTAAGGTGCATAGAAACACTTGGCTCAGGGTGTGTAGAGTTGCAGCCCTTTTGGGGATACATGCCTAGTGGTGGCTGGTGTCATGCAGAGGCAGCCAAGATGGCAGCACATGTGGCCGCAGCAGGAAGAGCCACTGTGTGCTCAGAGTTTATGGGCTGTTCTGTGGGAGCTTAGATGATTAAAACACCGAGAGAAATGCAAATGGTAGAGCCCTGGCTTGTGAAGTCCCAGAGGGCGGTCTGAGAGTCTGTCCCTTAAAGATTATCAGGGCCAATATATTTGTATAATATGTTTGAACTAAGAATCCATGCAGCTTGGGCAGGGTGTGGTGGTACACGCTTTAATCCCAGCACTGGGGAAGTAGAGGCAGGCAGATTGCTATGAGATCAAGGTCAGCCTGGTCTACATAGAAAGTGCTAGGTCAACTGGGACTACTAGGAGACTTGGGAAAAAAAACAAAAACAAAAACAAACCAAGAATCTGTGCGAGTGAAACCTTTACTAGAACAGTTAGCTGGGTTGAAAAGTCAACTGTTGGAGACTGGAGAGATGGCTCAGCAGTTAAGAGTACTGGACGCTCTTGCAGAGGATCCAGGTTCAATTCCCAGCACCCACATGATGGTTAACCATAACTCCAGTTCCAGGGACTCCAATGCCATCTTCTGACCTCCGTGGCTATTGCACAATGCAGGTGCACTTACACACATGCAGGCAATATACTAATACACATAAAATAAACAATTTTCTAAAAGTCAGCTGTGATTAATAAGAGGCCAGCATCATTGAGGTGAAATCTGGGGAGTAGTTCCTCAGGGTCAATCCTGAGGAAGCTGTGGTCCAGAAGGGCCAAGGCTGTATCTCAAGCTGGAAGCTGACTTGACTATGTATAAATGTCTCCTACATGGGACTGGTATTAAAGACATGAAGGGGTCATGGAGAGCAGCTGAGGCTTCATACTATGAGAGGCTAAAAGAGGCCATTGGTGAAGGTGAAGACTCAGTTGCAATGGAGACCCCAGGATTGAAGAGGTCATAGGAGAGAAGTTAGGCTTGGCACCACGAGAGGCCAGACGAAGTTACTGGTGAAGATTCAGCCTGAATTGCAATAGAGACTCCAGGATATTGGTGATGTCAGGACTGTGGGGCTGTCTGCCAATGTCAGAGGCAGATATAAAGTGGAGCTGGCCTAAGCCTGTAAGACCCAGATGTGTCGGCTGCAGTTGGCAGAGCTGGAGAAATAAGGCTGCCCAAGCCATTTCTGTTTTTACATCAAAATTCTGAGTTTATTTCACATGTATATTTTTTGCCTCTCCACATGTCCATGTCTGATTACTACTATGACTGTGTCCTAGGATGACATTCCACATATACTTAAAACCAAGGAAAAGGTGGAGTCCATCCTTAGGAGCGGAACAGGCACTTTAGAGAGCACTTCTTGGCAATGGAGTCTAGACGTTTATCAAACACAGTAGGGGAAGTTCTTACTTTGCATCGTTAGAAGGACAGCCAGGTACCAATTGTCACAGAAACGAAGTAAGATGGGATATCTGAAATGGAACTACATTTTGAAAGAGACTTCCACGGCTACAGATCTTGACTAGCCTCCTGGGTCAGTCATCCGGAAGCAATTGTTCACATGACTGATGAACTTGGCTTCCACTTTGGGAAGAGAACCACCTTTCTCTAAACTTCTGTGCATTTTTGCTTTAATGTCCTCTACGTATCCAGGTCTTTTTTTTTTAATGTTTTACAATTTCTTTTCCTTGGTTTTTTAAGGATTCTAGACCTTTTGATCCTGCTGTTGATGGTTTTAAGTCTTTTCTATTCTGGTTTCATTTTGTGCATTTTTAGCTTGAGTATTTCAGATAGATTTTTAAAATATTTAATTTATTTTAATATTTATGATATGTAGCAGTGTTATGCCTGCATGTACATAAGTGCACCTGTG